ATTATTACTGTTCGCCACTTTCCTAATCATTTTGTTTAAAAAAGGAAAATAATTAAGAACTACTCTTCGTTCCTGGGTCATTTTTTTGGGATGCTGCCGATTCTGATTCTGAAACTTCGTAATAAGCTCGTCCACCTCCCTCCTCCGATAACCTTGTTGCATTGCTGTCTTAAAAACGGTTGAAAACGTTTTTATTAAACATTATTTATTGCTGGATAGTTAAAGGTTTATTTTATTTTATTTACATTATTCATTCCAGTATAAGTTCTTGTTTTTATTTATTTATTTAATTGATTAAAAATATATGTTTTAAAATATATTATGATATTCTTTGTATATTCTTAGGAGAAAAAGGCCATAAAAATATTAATTGTTCAAGCAATCACAAATTTTATTCTGGATTAAATTTTCTTGAAACATCAGTCTAATCACTATAGTCAGTACTTTAACATCATTCTTAAAGTATTGGATCTGATAAGACTGATCATTTGCAGATATTTAATACAGAATAAAACTTACGACTACTTGAACAGTTTTAACATTTATAATGTTTTTCTTTCACTGAATATATTGAGTCATCTAATTCAAGATGACTTTTTGATGATATATTTTAAATATATATTAATTTAATCTAATAATATAAATTTAATATATTTAAAAAGTGGATAGTATAATATTTACTTACATACCCTATTATTATTTATTATAATAATAATAATGGAACTTTTTGAAGTTAGATTTAAAATATTTCGTATTACAGTAGACCCTCCTATAACATGGTAGATACGTTCCATGTTATATGAATTTCATGTTGTACGAGTCACTTAAATACATGAGCCAATCACAGCCTGGCATGTGTGCAGTTTAGCGGCTACGGCTGTTCAAAAGGTTTTCTTCCATAAAATTAATTGATTCTAGACTAATTTGACTCAACATTTCCAAATCATATATAATTTTTTGGGGATAATCCATATAAACTATGCTATAAACAAAAAAATTGTAGGATTACTTACCAAGTGTGCACCGTTCAAAGATGTCATTGCTTAAGCTTGTTTTTGTCGTGGAGCGGCTCATTGAACAGCGGGCGCGTATTTCCTGATAAGTTATTTTTCTGTGAAAAATTCAATGAACTTTAGAGACATCATTAATATAAATATAATTTTTATTGCTGTTAAATAATAAATGGTTTTTAGTAGGTCTGCTGCTTGTTTAAACTCAACGGTTTGTGCAATGTCCGCTATTGGTCCAGATTTGACCAATCCTGTCAAGACACAAGTTGGCCGTGACAATCTGTCTCATTCTTTTACCGTGTTATACGAGCCTCTTTTAGCGTGTTTTATGAACATGATCGCAATTTTTCCACTGTGTTATATGAATCTGTCTTATATGAACCCATGTTTAGGGAATTCGATCCCGGTCTTTATTTCTAATCCCGGGATTTCGGGATTATACTTAGTCAGTCCCGGGATCCCGGGATTATTTCGGTATTGAGGGTTAATAAAAAATAAGAAAATCTTACAGAAATCAACAAATCAAAATTTAGACAAAAATCAACATATTTTACAGTATACACCTAGCTAATTTAATCACTCTAACTAATCAGACTCAGAGTCAGACTAACCAGACTTAAAATCACTCAGTCTTCATGTTAAATTTATTCTTTTTTAAGCATCACTGAGATCTCTTTAAACTCACATAAATTGAAAAAACCTTTATGTAACAAACTATGCAAATAAACGTTGAAAATTAACAAAAATCTCTCTTAACATCGACTAAATAGACTACTTTCATATAACAACCTAGTAAGTAGGTAGTAAAGTAAGTTTCTTAGCAAAAAGTATTTAAAAATAATATTAATCAGTCACATTTTTCTTAAATATAAAGAAAACTAATCTAATAGGAACATTCTAATTTGAATTGCGAAAATATGATCTGAGAAATAACAACGCATCCTGTGTCTCATCACCAAGTCTGCTTCTCAATTTGTTGCACATATATGCAGCTGCTGAGAAAACGCGTTTAGGTTTGATGGAAGTTGGAGGAATCGTTAGTAAATACTTATAAGCCCGTTCTAGTTATAGCTTCGAGGACACGGGGAGGTTGGAAGAAAACAGTCCGGTCGACACAGATCGGGATTGTAGGAGTAAAGGCTACAATCCCGATTGTTTCGATCATTGTAAGCATGCCTTTCTAAAAATAAACACGTTAATTTTGTAAATTCGGTCTCTGTGTGAGTCTCTCAGCATCCAGCAAACCACTACTCCCAAACGTAAAAAGACTTTCTCGCATCATCCTGACAGATCACGGGCAAGGCGGGGGTCGTAACCTTTTCACCTAAGGTCGACCCCCCTAAGCGAGAGGCGTCGGGTCTATATTAACCACACTGGCAAAACAAGATGGCTGACACATTGACAGGTAAAACGCACTGAGTAGTGCTCTCGACTGCGCCAGAAAATCGATTGGCGCCCGCGAAAATTCAAAAATACAAAAATGAAGTATATTACCAAGTAACCCAGTGAGAACTGCTTGCCTATCATTTTAGTTCAAAATACAAGAAGTTTTATTCCAAGCAAGCCCGCTAGGTTAATTTCTGCTCTTGCTTGGAATAAAATTTCTCATATTTTATATTAAAATGATAGGCAAGCAATTCTGTAAAAGCACTGGCACTGAACGTTTCGCTTCATGCAGTCTATTTTGCAACTTTTTTAAAATGATGACAATCCCGAAAATCTCGGGATTTATAAAATTTAATCCCGAAAATTTTGGGACTGAAAAGTTGTCGGGATTCCGATTTTCGAGATCCCGGGATCAAATCCTCTACCCATGTTATAGGGGTGTCTACTGTATTTTTAGTTAATTTTTTTATACATGGAGCAACATATTTTAGACATGTGATAAGATTGTCTCAATTAGAATTTTAGATGTTAAATTTTAAATTTTCAAAATTAAAGAATTTGAATAATTGTTTACTATGCATTCACTTCTTATAATGAATGAATCAAAAAACTAGGTGAATGATAATGCATTAATTCTATTCTACTTTTTATTCATATTCTATTTTACTATTTGTAATGAAATTTAAATATACAGCCAAATATTTTGGAATAGACTGAAGAAATTTTGTCATTATGAAATTTTTTATGATATATTAATAGATTTAAAACTTTTGTTTTTGATTAAAGTAATTGCCTCTTTGTTTAATATTAGTTTATTTCATATTATTGGAAGAACAATGATTACATTTGTTATTTAATTATTTCTAAAATTTTATTTCATTTAATACACAATGTTGGCCATTTTGGCAACTGAATTAATTATGATAAAATTTGTATTGTGTTTTAATTTTAATATAATAACAGTAACAATCATTACATTTATTCAATTTTAACAGCATTAATTAAAGTTTTAAAATAATGTAGTTTGACCTTTTTTTTTTAAATCTATTATACTTGTCTTCTATTTTTTAATTATCCATTCAAAACATTAATAATTTAATAATAATCACTAATTAAGAAATTGCTAATAATCACAATAAATTAAGAAATTAGTTTGTTTTCTTTTATATATTTAAACTGTGTGTCAAAAGATAAAATCTTCTTTCAGAAGTAAAAGTGATTATATATGAAATATTTATTAAAATAATGTTGATAGTTTTACATATTTTTGTATTTCATTGTAATCTTTTGATAAGTATTTTAAAAAAAGAATATCAATGAAATATTTAATTCTTACTTATATGCAGTGTTTTTATTTTATTTGCCAAAAATTAAACAATGAATGAGAAAGGGGTTAACATTGTATATCCATTGTATTGATTTTTAAAAAGTTTGCCAAAATTTTAATCAAATTGCACAGGTAATTTGATAAAAAGCTATAGACAAGTAATAAATATAGGCCAATTTCAAAACTATTTTTTTTCAGGCAGTAATTTTCAAATTGCAAGTCTGTACATTCCCATTGTTATTTATCTGTCCCTCTATCCATTTTTCCTTAATCTTGAGAACAGAGTTAGATAGATGAAAACCAAGACCAGATATGGAAAGCTTATTTTTAAATTAAAATATGATTAAAAATTGTAGCCTGGCATTGTGAAAATGTCACAATAGGTAATTGTTCGTAACTATTGAAATAAAATTGAAGCTTAATTAAACATTATGTTATTTCTTATGAAGAATGTGAGATCGTATATTTAAACAATAACTTTAATGTAATTGATAAAAACTGGAGTTGAGCTTGAAAAGTACATTGAATTACCTGGAATTATTGAATTAAATATTTTGCTCATACATTTAAGCATTATTATTATTTTTGTATTAATTCAAAATAATAGTAAATAGAGCAGTTTTGTTTTTCTTGAATATTTTATATTCTAATAAAATATAAAGAATTATGAACTATAAAGAATTAAGAATATAATAATTAAAAACATTGACAATGTTTTTAACTTGTTTTTTATTCATTGTTCAATTTTTAGCATTCTGATAAAAATATTACATACCAAGAGTAGTTTAATAGTTAATTTTCTCTCAAATACATTTAAAAATTTTACTTATTTGCTTCTCTTTCAATATTAAATTATCTTCCCATGGTTTTATTTCTCTTTTAAAAGAAATTTATTTTTACTTAAATGAACAATTGTAAGTATTGTAGATACATTTTATAAATTAATGCTTTTGAAAATAATAAATTTCTCATTGAATATAAATTAAAGTTTTGTTATGAATGTAATATAATTTACTTAATAATTTTATGAAATTTGTAATAATAATTATGATGACTTGATGGAATATATTCAATTTGTAATTGTTTCATGAATAAATGGTATTATAACAATTTATTAGAATTGATATTGTAGTGCATGATTATTTTTGATGAATTTTATAATATATTATTTAAATTTAAGAAGTTTTGTAATAATATAATATTATGTTAATAGAATTAATATATATAATTTAAATATATTTTTTCTGACTAATCTTTTATTATTTTATACTAAATAGATATGATGTCCGTGGCTATCTTCATGATCTAACTCTCTATGAACCAAAAGCTGATAGCAATCCTACGGCTGGCTTTACTCCCGAAGAAAAGAGGATTGAACAAATTTGTGATGAAGAAAGATATTTGGCTCTACGAAAAGATTTGACAGAAGAGCAGATGTATCATGGTATTTATATTTAGTTTTTTGTTAAAATGTATTGAAATAAATTTTAAAACTTTTTAATAATATTTTAAATATGACTTGTTTCATGATAGAAAAAAATATTTTCCATAACTTGTTTCATGGAAAATATTTTTTTTTATCCCTGTGGGAAAAAACTTCAAAGTGTTACATTGAAGCTTTTAAGTTGTATACCAACTTAAAACTTGGATACCAAATATAAATAATTCTTCTCAAAATTTTTATTAGAAAAAAAGGATATAAACAAATCAGTTAACTTTTTCCATGTTGTCATCAAGAATTCCTGAGTTTGGCTTCTGTCAAACCAGCTGAGTTCAAAATATCTTGGCAAGTTTCTTGAAGCAATTTCTTTCCTTTGCATTCAATTGCTTCCATATAGATACATTTTTTATATCATTCCTGCAATAATTCTCTCTTATTATTGTCAGGAGGTCCAGCCATCAGGTTTATGCTAAGATAACCATATATTAAATAATCATTCATAATTTGGCATCTGATATATTCTTTACAATGGTGAAAATCCTTCGCTTTTCATCATTATTTTGAATCTTTCCTTTCAATTTATGGACAAGTTGAGGTAATTGAAATTTTCTGCAAAACAGTTAAGTTTATTGATATTAGATAACATTACTGAAGGTGAAATTTGGCCAATATTAATACAGTAGAGCTGGAGCCGTATTCTGGTCACTTATCTCTCGTCTCTTCTTTCACCGACGAATGACGTCAAAGCGAGAGACGAAATTCGTCTCTCATACACAGTGGCGATTCTGGTTGTTCGTAACGCTCTCGTCTTTGTTGTTGACGTCACGATTCTATTCGGTTGATTATACATATTCGGGTTATCTGCGCGCGCAACACGGTATAGAATTTTAACCAATGAAATTGTAAAATTTTCGAAAGTGCGGAGTATGTAATCATAGATCACGTGGCAAGGAAAGCACGTGTTCAAATAATGCATGTAATTTTTCGACGAAGTAATTATTTTTTTAAATGTTTTATAACGTTTTTAGATTGTAATGTCAATTTGTCTCTTTTAACAAATTAAAATTTTAATAACCTAAGTTAGAAAAGCGTGAGTTCTTAGATATTTTTCGAAATATTGCGATCTAATTTCTTCTTAACTATCTAAGTAAGATTAGCATCATATTCGACAGTTCAGTAATTGATGTAGGATAATTAAAAAAAAAAAAAAAAATTGGAATCAGTGACGTTTCCGAGTAGGTGCTGGAAAAAAATCAGGATTTTCTCTCTCGAAATATTCTTTCCCGAGATAGAGAACGTTCTCTAATACGATTGTACAGCGCGAGTAGCAGCCAATCGTCCATATTGGATATAACGAAATCGAGGCGAAAGACGAAAGAACGACCGAAAGACAACTATCCGCTCGTCTCTGATAAACGAGAGAATCGAAGAGAGAAAAAGTTGTCCAGAATCGCGTTTAGAGAGACGCGATGATCTCTCGAGACGTAAACAAATGATCAGCCAATCAGCGATCGGCTTGTGAGAGACGACAGACGAGAGACAATGACCAGAATACGGCCCCTGGACTTCTTAAACTTTTTTTATTCATGACCCCATTTATTATTGTGATTTTTTTCACAACCCCCAAATAAAATAAAGATATATACAAATTTGCAAAAACAATAATGGTGTACTACCACAGTTCAATCTTGTGTTACAATGGAACAGAGACAATTGAATACACTGAAAAGCAACAACATTACACTAGTTCACACTACAGTGTTGCTGAATTGTTGTCTCGCTGCACCAGAAGTGACACAAAGCGAAACTCACAAAACCTATTGCACAAAGCTTGCCATTTTCAAACTCTCACAAATTATTTTCAATATTTTTCATTAAAATCTTGACCCCAAGATTTTGCTAAGTGACCCCATTTGGGGTCGCAACCCATAGTTTAAGAAGCCCTGCAGTAGAGCATCGATTATCCGACCCCCGATTAACCATCACATTGGTTAACCGACCGTTCTAGTCGACAAATTTCAAATGTTCGCTAGTGATGTGGCACTACAATATTTGGCTATGTCTTGGCTGCTTTAATATTATTTTTGTTAAATTTTTGCGTGTTTTAGCTGGCAATACTGGCTCGACCATTGAAGGGAGGCCAGTATTTAAACGAGACTTAATTTTCTAATTATGAGTGGTTGTTTGTTTTGTGAGCAATAAAATAATTTAAAAATAATTTTTAACGATACAATAGCGACGATTATTATTTTTTTAAAGAATTTGTTAGGCTTAACATTGATGAAAATTCAATGCAAAGTTGGTTAATAATGATATACTAATATACTAATTATATGGGGTATACTAATATACTATACTAATAATGTATTTTTTTGATTCTTTTCGGTTATCTGATTTTTCAGTTATCCAACCAACCTGAGTCCCCAATTGAGTCGGATAATCGATGCTCTACTGTATTTGTTTTTTTTTTTAAGTTACTCTGCTATATTATAGTGAAATTAACATTTTTGCATTGCATTATTTATGAGCTATTTTGTAAATTTAAGTATTTTAATGAAAGTAGTAGTTTTTCAAATATTATGCTAAAATTTAGAGTTAGTTTACAGTAATTAGCAACCTGAATGTAATGCAACTGTGTCAGTGACTGATAAAAATAACTTAATACTTGATTGCTTCTTGTTCTCTCTTATGTTCTTTAGAATTAAGCACAAAATTGCTATAGTGAACTTATCACACAGAAACACTTTTTTTTATGAAAAAAGTATTTTATTATTTTCTATTTTCACTTTCCCAGCTCTGTTATATATAACAGGGAAAATTTGGCCATTGATCAAAAAATGATTTCAGATTTTTAATTTTTAGACTCTGGACCTTGAAATATTGAGAAATACATAACCTTAAGGGATTTTTTCTGTATGTATTGATGTTAGTGTGTATGTGGGTGGGCATGATTTTGTTCACCCTCTTTGAAACTTAATAATTCCTGTGCTTTGTTGAAAATTTCTGAAGTTTTGCAGGGATGTTTGTCTATTAGGGAGATTGATGCTATTAAATTTTAGTGGTTAAAGGTTGATGTGGTGGAGAAATAAAGGGAGCATGTCATATCTTAAGTAGGGTCAGACTTAATAATAATTTTACTCGTTATTAGCATTTACAATTCTTATAAAACTCATCCCTACCTTCAAAATTAAGCTTTTTGCCATTTTATAATAATTAGATATAAAAAGTTTTTAATAAAATATCGCAACAGATTGTGCCACATTTACAGTTTTAAATGTTGCTGAGAAAGTTAAGCAACTTGTTGCTGGATTTTTCATGAAAGGAAATGCATTTTGTGCTATTTGCTCCTCATCAGGCAAATGGCCCAAAATACTTATCCTTTTCACTTTTCCAAATAAATCAGCTGATATTCAGCTGTATATTAGGTATTTGGTAATCAGAAAAGACAAAGAACATTTGATATTCAGGGACAGTAATTTTCAAATGATTATTTGGTATTTCATATTCAGATAAAATCTTTATTCTATCCATTCCAAATAATTATTAATCACAAAACAATTAAAATTATGATAATTATTAGTTATGAATTATATGCTTAATTAGTATAACTAATTAAGGGAAAGAATCCAATGCAAGAAAACCTCTTAAAAATAATTATTTTAGAGGTTATTTGCAGATACATTTTATTGATATAAATATATATCAAATATTTTTAACATGGTTGAAAATATAGTGATGGGTCTAAAAGAGTTTGTTATTCAACATAGACTAACCTTCTCGAAACTATCTTTACTATACAAGAAAACTTTGAAAATAAAAAGTCCGCCTATATTGTTTATCTTACTATCTCATAGATTTTTGCTTTTGCTTTTGACTCTGCACTCTCCAACATCTTTTTGTGTGCTTTACAAAATTATTTTGATATTAACCCTGCTTTTCACTCATCACTAAAGAACTATTTTTTATTAAGACTATGTAACTACAAATGATCAGGAATTCCTTCATTGTTCCCAATAAGTGGCATTCTACAAGGATCAATATTAAGTGGGTTATTCTTTTCTATTTATATTAATAACTTATTCAACAACATTAATTTTAAAATAATTGCTTATGCTGATGCTGATAAACTTTTAAACTATGACCCTAATCTTACAAACTGATCTTAACATCTTATCTACTGCTTTCAACAAGATAAACCTAAGAATTAATATTCATAAAATTTAAAATTGTTGTAATGAATTTTTCTTTTGTTTGCAATTCTTTTCTCCTTTTTTTTAAATCTATATACAAGCTATAAAATTTATAAATTCATATGGTGACTTAGGGGTAGTTCTCAGCAATAAATTAATCTTTGAAGGTCATATCGAAAAGATTGCTAAATCACTCACAATCCATCATAGCATTTTATGGCTGTACTGTAGTTTTATTTCTTCCAAGTTGATTTTAAGCTTTCTTTTTATACAGATTTTCAGTCTGTAATTGATTACTGTTTGCCAGTATTGGCAATGACCATCCCTTCTCAACTGAACAAAGTTATAAGGGAAATAAATAAATTTAGCAATTTACCTTTCACTCAGAATTACAATGCTGCTTAGGTTAGACTTGGTTTACCTGATATGGAAGAAAGAATTAAATACTTTGATTGTGTTCTAACTTTTAAATATTTTAATGGATCTTTTAAACAATTATTGACTAAAATTAAAAGTCCTATTTAGGCAAACTCATTCTGTAACTTGTTTACATATTTCTTTTTACTGTCTATCATTATCTCAAAAACCTTTTTTTTTTTCACTGCATAGAATATACCTCTCTAGTCAAAAATTATAGTTATTTTGATTTTAAAAAGTACCAATCCATTTGTCAACATTTTTTATGTAATGTATAATTAATCCTACTTAAGTAATATTGTTAAGTTTACATCTTTTTCATTTAATTTTGTTTCAGATTTTGCTTGTATTTAAATTTTTAAGCATGTGTGTATGTGTATAGAGTCAAAGCATAGC